GATTTTGGATCATTAAAACAGATTTAAAAGAGAAAGGGAGGAGTCAGTGAAGAGCACCAGAGTTGAACCTTTTGTCGTCCAGCGTCTTCAGTAGAAACAGAGACACGAAGAAACGATAAAGCCGATAAATGAAAATTATCAACCTTATTTTAATTTTAATCTATCATTCGATTAGCTGATTTATTGTTTATCGTGACGGGCATGTCCATTATTACATAAAAAATATTATAATAGTAATAACACCCCAAAGCAGTATTCTATCATACCTTAAACTTGGAGTTGCTATAAATATGTAATCTGTTGCAAATTGCATAATGTGTGTAAGTTAAAGGTTTTAAACGCATTAATAAGAACAAGACATGAATGTTATGCATGCAGACGTGGATAAATCAGCTGGTTTCCGTACAGCTCATTATTTCTCATAACTGCCGTCTGATGTTTTTCCTGCATGTCTTTAGTTTGTGATAGTCAACCACAGTTTTTGAGACTTGATTTGTTGTTTGTTTTACAAAGATCGGCTAAAAAACACTGACAGATTTGTTGGTCCTCATAAACAGACTGTTTTTTTTTTTTATCATTATTACCCTATAGTCATGCTTTGACCTTAATTTGTATCAAAGGTGCCTTCAAACGTTTCTTCAGACATTGAGCCTGTTTAAAGGGAACAAGCAGCCGCTGCGTAGTTTGGTATTGTTGTGCGCACTAAATGTGGAGGAGAGAAAACAAAGACGAACGCTGTCTGAGGAGCTCAAGAAAAAACGTTATCGATGTCGGTGTTAAGGATGGAGGCAACAAGCAGCTTTATGTTCCCTTGATCACAGTAGCCAGTTTAGTACAACAATATGGAACTGTAGCCAACTTCCTAGTATACAGACGCAAGAGGAAATGCGACCCCAGGATGATCATATTATATGAATGGTAGAAAGAGTCGAGGAAACCATTCGAGATGAACTGAAAGGTCAAATCCGTCACTTCATGATCGCACCATTCGTTGCTTTTTAAATCAAAACAGGATCGATGGAAGAAGATCCAGGAGGCTCCGTTATGGACAGAAATGACATCGAGAACAAAATATATGTTGACAAGTTCCAAAAGTTCCTGGGAGAAGTATCTGAAGCTGATGAGACACAACTGGAGCATTTTGTCTGCACACATCAGTTTTATTTATTTATTATTATTATTATTGTGAAAACAATTTAATCCTCATCTGTATACATTTTCAGAAATTAGGGCTCCTTCATGTTCATGTCTTTTAAAACCACTTTAACAACTCTGCACACATTTTACCACTTCTCATACCTCGGCGAATCATTCAAACAAGCTCTTTCCTTTAATATGAAACTTTTTGTGGAAAGAACGATCCATTTATGACCTCATGTCAAGAATAAATCATTAATTTTATCACCAGTCTTTCTGACATTTTCCCAAAACAAAGCCAAAGCTGAGCTATCAAACTAATTTATGTTTATTCTAACAAATCAAAATACTGATTAAATAAATTAGATTACTATAAATATTCAAGAAAGATGCAGCTGAATTAAAATGCCGACCTGAATCTATTCAGTAACTTTGCAAAGTTTCTAACTGTCACATTTTGGAGGGAGCGTATTTATGCTTTTATTGTTTAAATCCTATGTAAAAAGGTGCTGTAGTATTTTATTATATGCTCTGAAATTGAGATAATTAGGACAATATCCTGCGCAGTCTGCTCAGCATGTTGTTAAAAACACAAGCTGATTGTTTAGAAATCTGTTTGCTTTTAAAATTCTCGTGACAAAGTTTTGAGAAATGTATTTGTCAAAAATCATTGAACTTCTATTTCTGTAGAAACAAATAGTCTGCTTATTAATTTAAACTTTAATCTTTTTTTTTTTATTGAAATCAAATGGTGAGTTGGTGATTTTCTTTGAGAAACATTTCACTTTGTGTAATATTTAGTTTTCTGTGCACTAATTTCATCAAAACTCTTAAATCTGTTTGTGTGATGAACTTTTCTCACCCCTTAAAGTGAAACTACCTCAGTCTGAAGCTGTTTTTGGTGAGGACACGTCTCGATTGTAGGACAGATTAGAGGATTGCTGCTTCCTGGCAAACTGTTTTGTAGCTGTAAAATGTTTTATTTGTCTGCGTTTAAGGTTAAAGATGAAGCGTTGGCTTTTCAAACTGCGTTCTGTTTGACAGATTGTTGTGTCTCCCGCAGGATTATCTGCCCAGTCAGCAGGACATCCTGCTGGCCCGTAAGCCCACCAAGGGGATCCATGAGTATGACTTCGAGATCAAGAACGTTCCCTTTAAGATGGTGGACGTGGGGGGGCAGCGGTCAGAGCGGAGGCGGTGGTTTGAGTGTTTCGACTCCGTCACCTCCATCCTCTTCCTCGTATCGTCCTCCGAATACGACCAGGTGAAACGCTTTAACTTTAGCATTACATCTGTAGCATCTTCCATGTCTGTATTCCACGCTGCTAGCTTAGAGCTACTTATTTAAGGAATTAGTTTTTGCTGTTAGTAAAACGCCCCGCTATGTTTGGTTTCTCTGGTTGGCTTGCTGCTGGTTTTTTTATTTTTTTGGTTGACTTGCCATCTTTCCTATGTTTGTCCTAATTGAATTAGGACGTTATTATCGGTAAATGTCTTTTTCACATGAAGCATGATTTCTTTTCCCCTAATTTTCTTCTTGGAGTATACCAGAATGCTTAATTTACATGTTAAAAATCTTCCAGGGGGTGGGGCAGGAAGCCCCCGCCCCACAAGTGCTAGGTGTGTCACCTTTTTGTCTCTTGTGAGTTTGCAGGGATGTGTAATATTCATGCTGCTCAGATACGTGGTCATGTTCAGCACAGTAGAAAACGTTTGCACATCTTGGGTTTCGTGCATCAAGTGTTCAGTTTGTTCTGACCGAGGCGGAGCGAGTTGTGAGAAGAAGCTCGAGAATTAAAAAGAATCATCTGTTTTGAGATTACAAGCACACCTGCATGACAACAACACAGATGACTTGGCAAATCTGACGTTTCCAAAGAATTATCCTGTTTTCTTTCAGCAATGTTGGGACATAAATTCAGTCCTTTATCATCGTCATCATTATCTTTTTGCTGCAACTGTCAGGAGGTGCTTCTAGCTTATCTTGTTTACACAGCCATCAGTCATCAATTAACAATGTGTTGGTAGTAAACAATAACTAATTCAGCGACACGGTTTTATAGTAGGAAAGTTTTGTTTGACGTCACTTCACAGACAGCAGATTTGTATTAGTTTTTATTTTTTTAAAGAAGACAGTGTGTATGGTCCAAGTTAGAGTACCGTATTTTCCTCCGTACACAACGCTACGCCCTAAAAGTTGCATCAGTCCAAATATGTCTAATAAAGTTGAAAAATCCATAAATATGTTGCTTCGTCGTATACTTCGCATCTATTATGCGTCACCACTGACAACCCGGAAACGCAGGCCCGTGTTGTGCCAAAAATCGATTTGCTGCCAAATGGCGGAAGCGTGCACAGGAGGACTTT